GATCCGAACCCTCGGCGGGAGCGCCGCCGCACTTCCCAAGCGGAGCACTTATCCAGTGCGCCACCGGGCCGGCCCCCCCTTTCCTAATTCTAATTCCCTATGAAAGTAGATAAAGGTCTTGCAAAACAAGCCACAGTGAGGATCCTTTAGGAGAGGTGAGACCTCTAATGCTTACACTGGGCACTGGCCTGCCCATTCCCTGGAGTGCCTTGTGCTTGGCCAGTGTGGCTGGGATGGAGGAACTGAGCTAGAATATTCCCCAGCTTCCTCACTCCTGCTGTTCCGAGTCACCCTTTGTCTGCCTCACCATTAGCTAAGGGGGCTGATTATGCCACTGGAGGTGGGCGCCACTGTGGTACACGTCACTGCCGAGAGGAGGGATTCTTGTGCCCAGAGTGGTGGACCAAGAGCTGTGTCTGGGCTTGAGGATGGGCTTGTGTTGGTGGCGTTTGGCAGCTGTGGGTGGCAGGGAGAGGTTTCTGCATCCTATGTCAGTGGTTCCTCTCCTGGGGCTGCATGACTGATGAGCGTTGCAGACGTCCTCTGTAGGCACATACCTGCAAAGTCATCGCCGCTGCCTCCTGGCAGGGAGGTGGTGGGAGGAGGCCTGGGCTCGCCCGGGTCTGGGTGGCTTTCTCTCAGCAGGGGATGGGGGGACCTCCCACACACAGGCACATGTCCGTGCGCCTCTTCCTCCAGCAGGTGGAGGCTCATGCTGCTGGCCAGGCACCAGTTAGCATCCAGAGGCAAAGCACAGCACCCCCCACTGCAGACCTCACAGAAACGCCCCTGGTTTGGGCTGGCCGCAAGTCCCTGCTCTGAGCCTCTGCGTCGTCAGCGTTAGCTCCATGTGCACAGTCTGTGTCATCGGCCAGAACCTCCCTGGCAGCTGGAGCAATTTGTGACTGGCTGCAGGTGGGGAGAGGAGCTTTGTTCCTCAGACTTCTTGGCTGAGACGCCTGGTCTGTCGCTGGAGCATGTTTGATGCTGGAGCCTGAGGCAGAGGCTTTGGCCAGAGCCGGCATTCATTCAGAGGCACATAGGAAGGGGGGAGCCCCAGACCCCTGAAAGTCCCACCCAGGGTCTGAGTGCTGTAGCAGAGGCTGAGGGGCAGGTTCTCCGCGGGTCTCGGAAGTGAGTTGAGAGCCCAGGGGAAGCTGACAGATACGCAGAGACTTCAGAGCTTTGGGGTTCAGAACGTGGCCGGCAGCTCTGCAGCCCAGCGTGGAATCACGGGATGGGGGAGGGAAGGGGGTGTTGGGCCGTGGTAGTGGGCACGGGGCTGGGGCGGCTGGGCTTCATCCACAGGAAGCAGTGGCAAACCCTCAGAGGCTGGGGTTTCACAGGGTACATCTGGAGGCCGGGGGTGGGGAGCGTATGTGGAGGGGAGGGAGGGGCAGGGCAGAGGCTAGGACTGTCCCAGGGATGAGGTGAGGCTGGCAGTGGGCTGGCACAGCAGAGATGGAACACGAGAGAGGATTTCAGAGACCTGACCCCCGGCTGGGGGTGGAGCAGGGAACAGGGGTGAGCCTGCCAGCCAGCAGGGCGAACACCACAGGGAAGGTCAGCCTGTGTGTGATAGGGGAGGTGGTGGGGGTGTTTCCCCTTCTCATGCAGGCTTCCTCATTCTCCCTGGGCTGAACAAGTCAGTTCTTACTCTTCTTAAAATGAGGGCCGGCCCGGTGGCGCACTGGAGAGTGTGCCGCTTGGGAGTGTGGCGGCGCTCCCGCCGAGGGTTCAAATCCCATGTGGAGACCGGTTCCCGCTCACCGGCTGAGCGCGGTGCGGGTGCAACACCAAGGGTTGCGATCCCGTTGCCGGTCAGTAAAAAAGACAAAAAGGAAAAAAAAAAAAAAAGAGTCTTGTTCATATCTTTTTATTATGTGCTGGAGGTAAGCTGTTAATGACGTAAAAACTGGCCTGGGGGTGGAGGTTGGGGGAGGGCTGGTTTGTAGTGTGTGTGCCCATTTCCTTGGTGTAAACGCTTCCAGCCTGGCTGAAAGTGAACCTCCAGCTTGAGGTGGGAAGAAACACACAGGAGCCCCATATGCAGTGTCCCACCCTCAGATATGATAGACATAAATGGTCAATCAAGAAGTGGTGAGGTTAGCATATTCATCGTTTGCTTGTTATATAGTGTATATAACTGTAAGTTTTGTGACTCAGTTTTTAATAATGGCTGTATGTAAAACTGATCAGCGCAACTGCATCCCTCAGCGTGTGGCCACGTCCGTCTTCAAAGCCAGCAACAATTCTTGGAGTCCTTCTTTCACCTCTGACCTCTCTGATTTCCCCTTCTGTCCACCACGCTGAGAAAACTGCTTTTGAAGGGCTCATGTATTTAGAGTAGACACACCTGGATAATATAGTCATGGCAGATACCACATCACATTCACAGGGTTCACCCCCCACTCAGAGGGGTTACACAAGGGTGAATGAGGGCCCTTGGGGTCGTCTTAGGATTCTGCTTACCACAGAGCCCTGTAGGCCATTTTTAAGTACCAGGTTTACTGTAAAAAAAAAGAAAAAGAAAAGGGATTTCCCCCCAAGAGAATACACAGTGAAGCTATCCCGTAAATGGCCCAAGGTGGTCGTATCGGTTGGTAGGATTCACAGGCCATCCTGGTTTGTTCCTATTTAAAGTGACTGACCTGAAGGCTGTCAAGGAGCAGAACTTGGATCTGCCCTGCACCCTAGGCAGGAGGTGAGCATTAGGGAGAACCCAGCAGCTCGCCGTGTTCCTGAGTCCAGGACGCTGTACTGACCCTTGGGCCAGAAATCAGTTTGTCTCCGGCTCCCCTGGGGATAGGGGAAGATGAGGTGTATCAGGCAGGGTCCAGTACAGAAACAGAAACCAGAGCAATTATTTTAACAGATAATTTAATAGAGACCACTGTTAAGCCAGGTATTGGGAGAACAGAAAAGTCCAAAAGGGACACAAGGACAGCACAGAGGAAGCACCTGCCACACCCCGGCCCCAGCTTTACATAGCCAGCACTGTGGGATAAAAGAGAAAAGGTTGGGGTCATTAGAACTTAAAAGCTGGGAGAAGGGACGCGGCTGACTTGTGCTGCGGGTCTGTAGGGTATGTGATGAGGAATTCTGCACGTGATGAGAAAACCATACCAGCGGATTCAGCTGCTGCCATAGGAAGGAAGTGTCATTGCCCGGGAGAGAAGAGAAGAGCATGGGTAAAGCTGACTGGAAGAGCAGGTGCCTTCTCTTACCCCAGCCTGTTGGCAGGGCCTGGCAGAGAACCACTGCCGGGCAGGGATGTGATATCCAGAGTGCACTCCCGGCATTGCAGGGCAGAGCACAGAAAAGAGAGATTGAGCTGAAGGAGGCTCACCACCCTTGTTTAGTGTCTGGACAGGAGGACACTGCATTGGTTTCATCAAGCACTCTCATTTGGTGGGATTTCCAGAATGATCCATGAAGCGCTTCTGCATGAGTCTCAGCAGTGGCCTCCGGGTCTTCTCCCTTCGGGTTGGTCGCTCCCCAACAAGTTTCCTAAGTAAAGGAATGGAGCAATCCCGTCGACAGACATGTGCAGCATCGAAAGCACAGATGTGGAGCCTGATTGGGGGGCCCTTCTGCTCCCGGCTCCCATCTTGGAGCTGAGCCCCCACATTGTCTTTTCTTCTGGCTCTGGCTGAGTTTTGCACGTGCAGTTTCATAGGTGGACTCTGGAAATGTTTGATCTAGCAATGTGGTACTGACTAATAAACTGACTTTTGATGATGGTATTTGAAATGGAGATGCCACCCAGGGGCTTAGCTCTCTGTACTTTAAAAGCAGAAAACAGTGACTTCATTCTCAGATAACATTTGCCAGCTTCACGGGATTAATTATCTACACATACAGAAGCAATGGAGCGGAATGTTTTGGCAGCATTTTCAGGATTCGTGTCATCGTGGCTTCAAATCTTTCTCCTGAGTTGATTAGGATTTTAAGGGATTTGAAATACTGCAAGCCATGCCTGTGTACAGGAGACCATAGAGTCAGCCAAGTAAATTTGCAAAGTGCCAATTTTAACTTTTTAGTTTAATGAGTGCCAACCTTTGTTTCATTACTTTAGTGATAATACTGTCTTAAAGAATTTAGAAGGACCTTGGTGAACACAGATCGTGAGCATATAGCTCAGTGGATTATCACCCAGTGAGCGGCACCCACATGAAGAACTAGGAATAGACTGGGAACAGCACCCAGAACCCCCTGCCTGTCACTGCCCCCCATCCTGATTGCTGACACCAGACGCAGTTCCTGGTGTTGAATGTTAAGGTGAGATTCGAAGGATGTCGGATGTTGAGGTGAAGAGAGACAGAGCACTGGGAAGTTTTTGGGTGCCCAGGAGATGGTGAGGAAGGCCGGTGCCGGGATACCAAGGGCTGGGGGCCACCAGCCGCTGCAGTTACAGGTAGCAGCGCCCTGGTCTCTGCCCCTCTCTGTGTCTCTCGCATCCGCTCTCGTGAGCCTGGCACCATGGGAAGAAGCGGTCGGCTGCACTGCCCAGCCAGGCCCTCGGTCTTGCTTCCTCCGGGTGCGGCTAGAAACCCACGTTCTCACAACAGAGAGGCTCACCACCCTTGTTTAGTGTCTGGACAGGAGGACACTGCATTGGTTTCATCAAGCACTCTCATTTGGTGGGATTTCCAGAATGATCCATGAAGCGCTTCTGCATGAGTCTCAGCAGTGGCCTCCGGGTCTTCTCCCTTCGGGTTGGTCGCTCCCCAACAAGTTTCCTAAGTAAAGGAATGGAGCAATCCCGTCGACAGACATGTGCAGCATCGAAAGCACAGATGTGGAGCCTGATTGGGGGGCCCTTCTGCTCCCCACATTGGTGGCCCTCCAGCCTGGGCCCAGGGACCCACACCTCCTGGCCTCTAACACTCCCCTCTTCTGAGTCAGTGCTCACGCCATTGTCAGTGCACCTGCTGTGAGTTAATGGGATCCCAGACCCGGCTCTCTGACCCCTGTTCCTTCTCTGTCTTACAGGTTTTGGGATTTGAAATTGATGCAGTGAACTCGGTCCAGTTTTCCAACCACACAGGTAAGGCACGGGCCTCAGTAGTCACCACAAAACTGAGCTTGGGCATGAGCAGTGGCCCTTTAGCGACCTGGGGGTGCCGGGGCTTGCCTTTCTTGGAGTGTAGGCTGCTGTGTTTGTGTCTCAGCTTGGCTGCATTGGAGCTGGATGGCACCTCTGGTGGAACCTCTCAGTGCCTTGGTCTCCTCCTCCGTAAATCAGGCTGGTAACGCTAGCCCCTGTAAGGTTGCTAGAGTTAAATGAGTAAATTGTGTAAAGTGCTTGGGCTGGTGGCTCAGAGCACAGGCATGTCATCCTGTGTTGCCGTGTGATGTGCCCATTCATGTCCCTTGTCCATCAGCGGAGCGCCTCGGGCCATCAGGAATGTCCCTGTGTTATTGTTCTGCTGGGGGGATACGTAGGTGGTTCTGGTTATCTCTGTTAACACCAGTGCCACTGGAAGCCTGTGTGTGTGTCTGAGTGCACGGAGACAGGATTTCACTGGCTCAGAGTACCGAGGGTCGCAGCCCTTGGAAGCCCCTCCTGTTGTCCAGGCAGAGTGCCTACTTCCCACACCCTCTGACCACTGGCCTTGGGAGCCTGCAGTGTGTGGAGCCTGCCCTGCTCCCCATGGTCCCCACACTGCCGTGGTGGCAGGAGAACAAAGCACTCAGTTCTTTGAAACATCACCATGTCACCTCTCCCGAAATTCCTCTGAACCCAGACAGAAACTCGGGAGCACAGATTGTCCAGAAAAAGCCTGGCAGAGCGTGAACAGGACATGAGGGAGGGGGCCTTGGCCCGTGCGCTCTGGATTTTTCGTAATTCTCTTGGATGTGATATTTCTTGGAAGGGGAAGTATTATAAGTTATAAATTGAGGAGGAAGAATAATGGCAGATGAAAAGGCTCCGATTTTCACTAGAAGTCCCTTCCTGCCCTTGCATGCTGAGCCAGCTGGGTGTTCTGAAATTTGGAGAAATCTCAAAAAACCAAAGTGCCTCCAGTGATCCTCCCTGAGCCCCGTGTGTTCTTATTGACTGTCCTGACCACCTCCTATACTTATTTACTTATTTATTTACAAGTCGGGGAGCCACGCTGGCTGCACATGAAATTTGTAATTAGGTTTATTTTTGAGGATCACTTTGCACTGTACTCGGCACGATCAGTCCAGCATCGGCAAAGACTCAGCTCAGAAGCTCTGCGGCCCCTTGCGCCTATATCCCAGGATGAGGGAGGGGGCTCCCGGGGACTTCGGCTGCGTTTGGCTGCCTTCTGGGCTCCTGTGGAACCTTCTCAGTTGGTGGTAGAAAAGCCATCCTGAGCGGCCTAAGACAGAAAGGGGTCTCTAGACTGTCCCAGGAGGGGTGGGATGATTAGACCTCCAAGTGCACAGGGGCCCCCACAGGTGCAGAGCAAGGTTAAGGGGGATGGGGGCTTCCCTTCCAGGGGGGCCCACCCCTGTGGTTCCTGGGAGGTCCCTAGAGTAAAGAAGGAGCCTGCTTTTCCCGTTCAGCCTCCTGCCAATGCCGGGAGGGCCTGCCTGGCTCAGGTCCCCCCAGTCAGCTCTGTGACTGGCTCCAGGTGCCCTGTACTTGGGCCCACGGGGTCATCCGTCTGTGCAGCCTAATGTGGAAGGCTTCCTAGGAGTCCTCCACCAAAGCTGTCTCTGCAGCTCAGGTGCAGCCACGTGAGGGGAGGCCTCTTCCTCCTGTCCCCCAGCTGCCCACTGTGTGCTGCTCAGAAATGAGGTTGGCCTGTCTCTCAAACCTGGCCCCTGTGGCACATGGCACCTGGGAAACCATGGGAGCTGGTGGCTAGGACTAGTGACTCAGCTGCCACCATGCAGCCCCTTGGCTCCCCGCCAACTCCCGGGCCAGGGAGCAGGGCTTTGTCACCCACTGCGAGGAGAAGACCTGGAAGGAATCTTTTTTTCCTAAAGGCCTGGAGGCACTTTTTTTTTTTATTGGACTCCCCTCGGAAGCATCTGTCCAACCTGTTTTACACACCGTGGCACCTCGCACGGGTGTGGAGGCCGTCCTGCTCTCGAGCATCCTTGGTCCAGGGCTGCACTTCCCAAGCTGTTTGGGGAGGGCCCTGCTGTTTTGTCACTTTTCCATGTGGTCCTAGTGTGTGTGCCCAGGATGCAGTTCATGCCATGCATGAGTGGCCATACGGGTCAACCACAAACTGTACTCTGGTCAACAAGCGACCACACATTGGGACACTTAAGAGATACCGGTGACCACAGTGGCTTTCTAACACTTCCTGGGAAATCTGCTTGTCCCTGGGCAACAGCGGAGTTGTGCAGCCATCACCACAGTCAATTTCAGAGCATTTTCATCTTCCAAACAAGAAACTGTGTTCCCAGGAACAGCCCCTCCCCCACCCCCTCCCCCAGTCCTGACAACCACCAATCCTTCCTCTATGTGAATTTGCCTGTTCTGGACATTTCCTGTAAACGGTGTCACACAGTGTGTGGTCTTTGTGTCTGGCTTCGGTCGCTGAGGATCACGTCCTCGAGGTGCATCTGTGCTGCAGCATGTGTCAGCACTTCACCCCGTTTTACAGCTGAACAACATTCCATTATGTGGATGGGCCTCGTTTATTTATCCATGCACCTGCTGGTGGACATTTGGGTCATTTCCACCTTTTGTTTGTTATAAATCATGCTGCTATGAACTGTCGTTTGCACATTTTTTTTGTGGACATGTTTTCAGTTATGTCCAGTGTGTACCTAGGAGTTAAAGGTGGGGTCACACAGGACATGCCTAATTCCCTAGCAAGGAGCTGTGATGACACATGTGAGATGTCATCCTTCAGGGAACTCGCAGGAGACTCGGCGCCCAGGGCCATCACTGGGTCTGGCTACATGGGCACCTCTATTTGGCATAATCCAAAATTCCAGGCTCGGGGCTGGCTAGTTAGCTCACTTGGTTTTAGCTCACCTGGGAGAGCATGGTGTTGAGAACACCAAGGTCCAGGGTTCAGATCCCTGTACTGGCCAGCTGCCAAAAAAACAACAAACTTACATAGAACACCAAGGTCCAGGGTTCAGATCCCTGTACTGGCCAGCTGCCAAAAAAACAACAAACAAAACACAAAATTCCAGATTCCCAGAGGGGAAGCAGGTGCTCATTGTAAACCACATGCTTGTACAGAGAGCCGCTTGTAATTACCAGTTCTGGGAACGGTGGGAAATTCCAGTCCCCAGATGCAGCAGAGGCAGCCCTGGGAGCAGGCTTTCCCAGGGCAGCAGTCTCAGGCCCTCCCTTCTCTTTTCTGTACATCCTCCCCCTTCAGTTCTTCCACGCCCTGAAATTCCAGTCCCCAGATGCAGCAGAGGCAGCCCTGGGAGCAGGCTTTCCCAGGGCAGCAGCCTCAGGCCCTCCCTTCTCTTTTCTGTACATCCTCCCCCTTCAGTTCTTCCACGCCCTCTTTGCACCTTCCAGGCAGCCGGGCTTGAAGGAGTCTCTGCCTCTGTGATCAACATTCTTCAGTTGCTCCTTCAGCAAGGGTTTCCTGGAGCTTCCTGTTCCCCAAGAGTCCCTGCCCCAAGTGCGTCAGGAAGGCATCCTGGCTGGAGATTGGTGGATGGGGCAGGCTGCTGCCATGGCACCTGGAGTTTGGAGTGCGAGGGGGCAGGACAGGTAACCAGCTGCTAGACACGGTGGTCCTCACTGTGAGGAAGGGGCAGCTGGTGCAGACACAGAGAGCATCAGGGCCAGAGAGGGCTGGGGACAGGCGCCTGGTGACAGACACCCAGCAAGGGGCCAGGCCCAAACCAGACTCCCTGGCAGGGTGGGCCGGAGGAGCCACTCACTTGGCCTCTGGTTTTTCATCTATAAATCGAATGAGTGGGACAGAGGATCTGAGTGCTTCTCTCCTGTTCCAGATGGTTCTCATGGGCCCTGGACTCATACTGAGTCATGGAGAAGGTGCAGGTCTAGCTTCCTCATTTAGTTAAGGGCTGGCCTTGGAGGGGCCGTGTGTTTGACACTGGCTGAGGGCGTGCGTCTCACCTTCCTCATGGCGTCCTGTGTGCTGAGTTGCATCCCCCTAAATTCACACGTTGAAGCCCTGACCCCCAGTACCACAGAATGTGGCTGTATTTAGAGATAGGTGGCTAAAGATTTAGTTAAGGTAAAATAAGGTCATTAGGGTGGGCCCTGATTCAGTCTGACTGAGTCCTTACAAGAAGAGGAGATCAGGACACAGACACTCAGAGGGATAAGCACGTGAGGACACAGGGAGAAGACACCACCTGTAAGCCCAGGAGGGAGGCCTCAGGAGGAACCAGCCCTGTCACACCTTGACCTCGGATGTCCAGCCTCCAGAACTGTGAGAGAGAAATTCCTGTTGAAACCGCCCAGTCTGTGCTCCTTTTGTTATGGCATCCATGACAACTAATAAACTACAGTGTAGTCAAGTTAAACCCCACCGTGGTTGGAAGGATATTCAGAAAACCAGTAATAGAAAGGATCAGAAAGGTCCATTGTTTGTTACGGCAGCCCCAGGCCTTCCTTGAGCCAAAAGGTGTCCAGGACAGGATCAGAGGTGTACCAGCTCTTTCTGACAACCAGATCCCTGCACGGCCCCTGCTGGACTCTCCCCAGGTGACCTGTTTAACACGGGGTCAGTCAGTTTCGCAGTCTGTGATAGATTCTCTCTTCAGGGTGAGTTTCACTGGTATTTTCATGTAGAATGGCAGATGGGCCACACGTCCCAGAGGCTGCTCATTTCTGGAGAACTGCTTTTGAAAGCTGTTGTGAGGCATTTGTTCCAGACATGCTTTATGACAGCTCCTGCGGGAAGCCAAAGGAGCCCTTTCCAGCCGGAGCCAGCCTCATACACAGGCCAAACTTCAGGGGTCCCACGTTGCAGGAGGGACCCCCAGCAGGCTGGCAGTCCTGCTGGCAGGAAGCAGATATGACTGTCTACCTGCAGGGTATGCTTCACCCTGGTTACCTGTTGGGCTGAGGGCAGGTTGCACATCTGGGCTGGGGCCTGTTTCCCATTCATGTTTGCCTCTTGGTCAGGATTTGATCTAAGCCTTGCTTCTGTGGCTTTAAGGAGCTTGTGTGGGAGGAGTGGCAGGTTGGGGACATGAGGAGCACCTGTCTGCCAGGGTGCCAAGGTGACAGGAATCGAGCAGCTCGGCCTGGATTGCTGGAAATGCGTGCTGTAGGCGCTCAAACAAGAGCCTGTGACACAGGGGTGCCCGAGATGCCCCTACTAAAGACGTGGAGAAGTGATGCACCTGCATGTGCCAGTGTGCCCCCACCATGTCCTTCCTGTCTGTAAAGAAGACACTGGTTCCACAGGGGTCTGCAGGCTGGCCTGGGAGCTGAGCACCCCATACACTGGATTAATTCCAGCAGGAGCTGGCAGTAAGAAGGTGCGGGATCCCTGACATCGGTAACGGTAATCCCAGACAGCATAGGAGCAGGTGTGCTTTCAGAGGGGCTTTGAGGTGTCCTGCATGGACAGGGATCGGGGGACCCGTCAAGGCACCGTGCCTGGTCAATCGATCTCATTCTGTGTCGGGGAAGCCTGTGGTTCCCTTGCATATGCATCAGCCTGAGTGATCTGCTGTTCCTCCAGGCTACACCCACTGGAAGGGTCAAGTGCTGAACTCAGATGAACTCCACGAGCTTTACGAGGGCCTGAAGCTGAACAATGTGAACAAATATGATTACGTGCTCACAGGTGAGGGTCTGAAGGGAGCCGGGCGTGGGAGGCCTGTGCACTTTATCCCAACCAGGGTGGACTCCGGGGAAGGCCCAGAGCACCTTTGCCTTGGCTTGTCCCTGGTCCCTGCCCCCATCAAGGAGAGACTTGGTGTGCATGAGGGACCACCACATCCTGGTCACCTTGGGGGTCCTGGTCATGCTGTACCTGCTCAGATGATAGCTGTCTTGTCTGTGCCAAGTCACCACCATGCCTGCAGCCACACTGGGGGTTCTGGTGCCCATGGGAGGGGACAGGTGGGGTGTTGGAAATGCCGCCTGGGGCAGGAAATGGTGGAGGGCAATATACCCAGGTAAGTGACACATTGCCACCTGGCACCTTGCTTTCCTTTGTCAACTTACCGGTTAAAGAAAAAATTACTTGGCTGATCCTGCCAGTAAAAAAGAAAAAAAACACGAGGTCAAGGGTTTGGATCCCCTTCCTAGCCAGCCACACACACAAAAAAAGACAAACAATTTGTATTATTATACATTGTTAAAAGTGATATATGCTTATTATTGCATACAGAGAATATGGAAAAAGGAAAAAATTACTCATGCATCTGTCACCCATGGGTCCATTCAACACTTAACATTTCTTTTGGGAAACGCCCGGCCTCCTCTCCGTGACTACAGATTGTTGGGGACACCTGGCTGCAGGGCCTCAGACCTGCCCCCTGTTCATACTGACCGTTTTGAGGGGCCTTACTTCTCTTGCTGCCACAGCTGGTGTGAGTCCCCTGTTTTCTGAGGATAGCCTGGATTTTCCCTCCCAAAGGGTACACAAGAGACACGTCATTCCTGGCCACGGTGGTGGACATCGTGCGGGAGTTGAAGCAGCAGAACCCCAGCCTCGTGTACGGTGGGTGCCAGGCCTGGGCCGGTGGCATGGGCCGGGGAGGGGTGGTTCAGCCCTTTCTCCTCCCCCAGCTGGGAACATGGTGTCTTCAGGGCCTCCAGGAGCTGCCTTCGGAACTCTGCAGCGGGTTAGACGTCTTCAAGTGGAGCCTGGTGTCTTACTTGGGAGGGAAGGTTGCACCTGTGCCACTCGATGGTGTCAGCATGTGAAGGCCTGGCCTGCCCAGGGACTGCTGCTGGGCGTGTGCAACCACACTGACCCTAAGAGGGCGGCAGAGGGGTAGACACCTGGATAGGGCTGCAGCTAATGAGTGGGTGGGGGCCCAAGTCTTGGGTAGATGGCCTTTCTTTTGGAGGCCAGGCAGCACTGGGTCCACCTTATCACCTGGGAGAAGGGGCAGCATTAGCCCGATGTTACAGACAGGGCTGTTTCCCAGGGTGCAGGTCTCCTGGGGTGTGAGGTGGTCCCCACCCTGCTCTGGCCTGAGAGTGGGTTTGACTCAACATGTTGGTCTGCCCTCGCTGTGGACTATTACCCAGAGGGAACATGCCTGTGGGAGGAGATGGCATGAGGCCTAGATTTGGTGGATCTGGGGCGGGAGGGGGAGGGGCTGCTGCATCCCGTGGGTGACTAGAGGATCCAGTGCTGTGTCACAAGAAAGGCGCAAGTGATCATAATTAAATAGAGGTTAACCAGAGCACTTGCAAAGTGCCAGGTGGCAAGACAGATGAGAATAGGGGCCACGCTGCTTCCCACGCTTTCAGTTGCACCTTAACGTGGATGTGAAGTTAGAAGCGGTGAGTGCTGAGGTACCACTCACACCGACTGGGATGGCTGTGATCAAAAAGCAAAAAGACAGAAAACAACAAGTGCGGGTGAGGACAGGAAGACCCTGGAGTCCTCGTGCATTGCTGGTGGGAACGCACGGTGGTGCAGCTGCTGTGGAGCACGGTCTTGTCCCCAGCATATCAGTTAGCATGACCAGCACTTCCATGCCAGGGATGTATTCAAAGTGTAGTAACTGAAAACAGGACTCAGATACTTATATACCCCTGTTCATATCGCCCTGTTCACCCTAGCCAAGAGAGAAGCAACCCAGGTGTTCACTAACGGTGAGTGGGAATAGAATGTGGTCTGTACACATGGGGGTAGTATTCAGCTTTGAAAAGGAAGGATTCTCAGGGCCAGTCCATGGCTCACTTGGGAGACTGTGGTGCTGATAACACCAAGGCCACAGGTTCCCATACAGGGATGGCCGGTTTGCTCACTGGGTGAGCGTGGTGCTGACAACACCAAGTCAAGGGTTAAGATCCCCTTACCGGTCATCTTTAAAACAAAAAGAAGAGGAAGGAAATTCTGACACACGCTACGGCATGGATGAACCTTGAAAACATTATGCTCAGTGAAAGAAGCCAGACACTTAAGGACTTATTATAAGATTCCACTTACATGAAATATTTAGAATAGGTAAATTCATAGAGACAGGAAGCAGATTATAGGCTGCCAGGGGCTAGGGGGAGGGGGAATGGGGAGTCAGTGTTTAATTGGGACAGGGTGTCAATTTGGGGGATGAAAACATTTTGGAGATGGACGGTGGTAATGGTTGTACACCAGTGTGAATCTACTTAATGACACTGAATTGTACACCTAAAAACAGTTAAAATGGCAAAGATTATGTTATATATGTATTTTTGCAACACGAAAATTAAAAAAAAAATTTGAGGGTCTGTTACCTGTCGGCTGCAGCCTTCGCTGATCAGATGCCTCATGTCTCCGCAGTGTGTGATCCTGTGATGGGTGACAAGAGGAACGGAGAAGGCTACATGGTGAGTGATGTCACGTGTGTGATTCAGTGTGGTGCGTGGAGCTACACCGTTAGACCAGAAGGCAGGACACCTCTCTAAGCGTCTGCTTGAGGAGACACCACTGTCCGGGGTGAGGATGTAATCCTTGCTGAGACTGAAAAATGGTCAGCAAGTGTTTTTTGTACAGAGCCAGGTAGAAAACAAGTATTTGGGCTTTGCAGGTCATGAGTCTCTGTTGTAGCCCAGAGCAGCCACAGATGATGACATGTAATTAAGTGGGCGTGGTGTTTCCTAATAAAATTTCACTTGCAGACACTGAAATTTGAATTTACTTACAATTTTCATGTGTCACCAAATGTTATTTTTTTCCCACATTTTTTCCCTAGCCATTTAAAAATGTAAAAATCCCTTTTAGCTCATGAGCTGCACAAACACAGGTAACGGGGCCATAGCTTACCGACCCTGATGTAGGGTAAAGTGCCCAGGCCAGCTCCTACCTGCCCCACTTGGTCAGTAGTTGAGGTCAGGGTGTCGGCAGGCATTTAGCCAGGAGAGGCAGGCAGTTCCTCAGTGTCTGTCCCTCCACCTTGTCCTGTGCCTGTTTTCTGGAAGGTTCTTTGCACCAGGGCCCTTCCTCTAGGACCCTAGCTCACACTGCCCTCTCTTTCTTGCTCTCCCCAAAGGGGGGCCTAGCTGCCCCAGAGCAGACACTTGTGTTTGGATTCCGAAAAGTTGAGGCCACTGTCCAGTTCAGTGTGGCTATGGGATCTGTCTTCTAGATTTCTTTTGTTCGTTTTGTTTTGGTGCCCGGCTGATAATGGAGATCTGAACCCTTGACCTTGTTGTTATCACCATTGCACTTTAGTAAACTGAGCTAACTGGCCAGCCCTGTCCTCTGGATTTTGATCACATTTATTTCCCCGTGTGAGCCACAACCAGCCTAAACATGAGTTCATGTGTTGGGCTCAGATGAACAGATGATCCGTACTTCACATTTCTACGTGAGTTTGAAAGGACCATGCGGGGCTTGCCACCTAGTGTCAGGTTTTAAAGAGCCTTTCTTTGATTTTATGGTCACCCTGATGGGGTGGGCAGGTGCTTGTGTACCCTTGCTGCCTTCCAGGCTTGCATTTGTAACAGTGGCCGACTGGTGGTCACCATGGGCTCAGATGAACAGATGATCCGTACTTCACATTTCTACGTGAGTTTGAAAGGACCATGCTGGGCTTGCCACCTAGTGTCAGGTTTTAAAGAGCCTTTCTTTGATTTTATGGTCACCCTGATGGGTTGGGCAGGTGCTTGTGTACCCTTGCTGCCTTCCAGGCTTGCATTTGTAACAGTGGCCGACTGGTGGTCACCGTGTGCCCTGAACACCAGGCACAAAGGTCCATCCCCATGCGACCTCTGGTTCCCAGAGGTTCCCAGGAGCAAGGTGAGGGGAAGGGATTTGAGAGCCAGGCCATTCAGCCAGGGACTGGTGAAATACCCTATAAAGTAAACAAAATGCTTTCAGAGCTTTGCGTTGGACCTTGGCTTCAGGATCCTTTTTAAAGAAATCTGATAGCTAGAGAACACTGGTGCGTTGGGTTGTTTGTTGGACAATCTACAACAAAAATAATGAGTAGCCCAAGAGTGGGTTGACTCCTGTCACCACGACTTCCACAGATGAGCTAAAGAGCTGGCGAGTCGGGCTCCCGGTACAGGTAGGCAACAGCATCACCAGTGCTCCCTGCCACCAGGCTGGTCAGCGCCACTCTGCACCCACCCTGTGAGGTTCCTGTTTCTCATCTCCCTGCCCCTTTGCATTCTGGTCAAGCAGACCCTGGCCTGAGCCCTCCCTTGAGGACCCCTCTGGGCCTGGTGAGCTCCCGACCCGATATGCTGGAGCGCATACTGCCCGCTCAGTGTGAGCGCCCCTGCTCCACAGTTGAGTGTCCGGATTGCAGGGAGTCGGAGGGCTTTTCGGCACGTGCCCTCTGGTGTAATCCCTGCTTCGTGAGTCAGCCTCTGTCCCTGTCTTCTCTTCTCTTCAGTACGTCCCGCGGGACCTCCTCCCAGTTTACAGAGAAAAAGTGGTGCCAGTCGCAGACATCATCACCCCCAACCAGTTCGAGGCCGAGTGAGTATTTTTAAATGTCTGCGGCTCTCAGAACTCCCACAGGGGAGCCTCAGAGAACAGGCCGGGAATGTCTCCATGTCTGCCCAGGAGGTTTCCCGAGGCCACCAAGGTCCTGCCTCAGGCTTGAGCACCAGTCTAGCTGGAATGGGAGTTGGGGAAGCCACCCGCCCATATCCCAGTGCAGACTCAGCCAGCTGGCCTAGGTCTTGCATTCAGGAGTAGTGGCAGCATGGGACTGTGTCACCAGACTCCCCGCAGTGACTGCTGCCCTCACAGTTTTCCTGGTAGCAACATCCTTTGGGGGTAGAAAGGGAAGAGGTGTCCCAGCAGAGTGAGGACACACATGGCTGGAAATGCTGGGCATGGAGAGCTTCAGCAGCAACTGAGACAGGCAAGGCAGGCCAGGCCCACATCCCTCTGTGAGGTTAAAAGAAGTGTGTTGCCCCCACCTCACATATCAGGTTTCAGAAGGCCTTTCTTTGGGCGGGTGGCCCTACCTGATTAATTAAGGAATCAGACACCCAGGGAAAACCACCCATCACCCAGTGCTGGAAAGGGTGGAGCTGCTCTGTGGGGCAGTCTCCTTCATAGTTTAGGCCGTGAGCCAGGTCCCTATTGTCTCCCAGGCCTCCCATTCATGTAGGGTGGGAGTGCCTGGACTCTTGGAGGCCTGGGGTTCCCTGACATGAGCTCATCCAAACTGGGTGATGACATCTCACCTTGAGGACCCTGAACTGTGGGTGGGTGCATGGGAGAGTGGTCCCTTAGCCATTTGCAGTCTTTGGCTTTCTGGGACATTGGTTACCCTCCCTGGCACCGTGTGCTGTGGCGTGGATCATTGGGGGGTGCGGGCCATTCTTCCTGTCTGCTGTAACGCCTAGATATTGACCACAACTGGAATCCTACCAGACCCCTGTAATGTGTGGGAATTCCCTTTCAAAACCACATTTTACTCTTGGCCAGCCCCCACCACACCCCACCCCACCCCACCCGTCATATAGATGCTGAGTTAGTTCCCTGTGGGGACGAGGAGGCGGGTTATCAGAACCACGGTAGCCTCGGGAACATTACACATACAACCCAGAGAGGATTCATCTCATATTGTCCCTGCCTGTCCCTCTTGCCTGTCTTCCAGGTTACTGAGTGGCAGAAAGATCCACAGCCAGGAAGAAGCGTTAGCGGTAAGACCACCGAAGCCTGGTGTGGAACAAGCCACACTGTTCACGGTGGGGAGGGGACAGCCACCTGGCCATGGGGCTGGGAGATGGGCCAGCCTCCGCACCTCAACTGCACTTCCAGGGTGTGACATACTGTGAATTCTGTCCAGGTCACTGGTTGCTGGCAGCTCAGCACTGTCTGCTGAGCTTGTAACAGCACTGCTGTGTGAGTGTCTGGGGGCCGCTGTAACAAAGCACCACAAACAGCAAGGCTGGAAACAACAGAAATTCATTCTCTCACAGTTCTGGCGGCTGAAAGTCCAAACTCAGGATGTGGGCAGGGTCACGCTCCCTCTGAAACCTGCAAGGAAGAGCCCTTCCTTGCCTCTGCCAGCGACTTGGGTGGCTGGCACTCCTTGGCTTATCAAGCATCATTCCAGTCTCTGCCTCCATCTTCACACGGCTGTCTTTTGCCTATGTGAACATTTGGGGGTCTCCTCCTCTTATAAGGACACCAGTCCTGTTGGATTGAAGACTCCTCCCACTCTGGTGCGACCTTATCTTAACTATTCAATATGCAGTGACCCTGTTTCCAAATAAGGTCACATTCTGTGGTATTGGGGGTTAGGTCCTCAACATATTGTTTCACGGTTCAGCCTGTAACAGTCACCAACAGTTATTGAGCGCTTACTGTGTGCCAGGCGCTGAGTGAGCTCTGGACATGATCTCGGGTACTGCGTTCGGCAAACACCCCAGATGCGAGCCATCAGCACCCCAGTTTGCCTCGCTGGGAACCTCCAGTTCATGCTTTCTTGCCCAGAGAAAAGCGGCACATGGGGATGTGCAACCCAGACTCCTGCAGTAGCAGCCATGCCAGGCGTGGGTGAGCTGTGTGTCTCTTCACAGGTGGGGCAGTTCTCGCACCCCGGCTAGGCCCCAGCTGCACACAGGGAGTCCTGCCGCATAGCCCCAGGTTTTGCTGCGTGGCGGATGGTTGGAGAAGCAAACGCACAGTTTGGGCACATCAAGCACATGCTGGTGCCACTGAAATGACCTGTATAGTCGGGGCCTTCAGAGGCCCGTAGGGAGTGTGTGTGTGTGTGTGTGCACATGTGTGTGGGCATGTGCAGAGATATTACCGGGAGGTGGCCTGTGCCATTTGGGGGCTGCCAGGCCCATCTGGAGTGTGCAGGGCAGGTGCACAGGAGGGCCTGGCAGGTGCTCCTGGGTAGGAGCTGGTGCTGCAGCCAGGGCGAGATTTCATCTTCAGAGTCCTTTCACCCCTCCCTCCTGGGCCTTGTTAACTGTGAGCCTCATGCTGGCACTGAGCCGTGGATGGAGTTGCCTTGGCCCTCTAGGGCTCCTTGAGTTTTCCAATTCTTCCAGAGACCCAGGACAGGGTGTCTGTGGGAGTCCTGAGCGGGCACTGGGCCTGTGGCAGGTGCAGCTCACCAGGTTTTCAGCTTCTCCTTTCCCCAGCTCCTCAGGCTAAGCCCTGTAAGAGGGTGCAGGGGGCCTGACCATAGGCTGTCAGTTGGGGAGGATGATGCCAGCCAGGAGCCCTCTCTCTGGGAACGCTACTGTTGGGATCTGGCCGAGGGGAGCATGGGTATGTGTTGCCGTGCTGGGCTGACATGCTCCCCATGCTGCCGGCAGGTGATGGACGTGCTGCACTCCATGGGCCCAGACACGGTGGTCATCACCAGCTCAGACCTGCCCTCCCCGCGGGGCAGTGACTACCTGATCGCATTGGGGAGCCAGAGGATAAGTAAGTGCCATGCCTGCTGCATGCCACCCCTACTGCCACGTGCCACTGGCTCTTCTTTGGTCTCAGCTCAAGTGTCTTTTAAGGCTTGTTTTGGGTTTAAGAGAATGAACATTTTTCTTGTTCAGCAGGTAGCTAAGTTCCTGAACAGTTGTGATCTCCTGCAGAAGATCAGACTGAGAACAGGAGCAGGAGGGTCCATGAAGTGGGTCAGGCAGGACGTGGGGTGTTAGCAGGCTGCCTCTCAGTGCTCCTGAGCCGTGGCACTGGGGTGACATCCCCATGTCACAGGCTCAGCAGTCAGGTGGGATGTCCTGGACCACATGGGCTGCATGGAATGGCCCAGCTGGAATGTGGCTTCCATGGACCAGGCATCCACTGGCCTCCCTCGGAGCCGGGGCCAGATCCTGAACTCACTGGGGCTATGTTTCTGCTCAGCTGTGTTTGTCGTTTAATTTTATAAATGCCACCAGGATTAATTTTGTCTGAATGGTGATAAAATGACACACAAGCCTGGGGTCAGATGCTAAGGTAGTGTCCAAGTTTGCACTCACTGGCCCCAAGAGTAGTCTCGCATGCGGCCTTGTCCCTGCTCTCTGCATCTGGGTGTGTGAGCCTTGTACACGTGTCACACACGTGTCATACACATGTCATCTTAACACGTCTAGATGTTCCCTTGTTCCTGGCACCCTTATTTCCCTCTTGGCCAGTGTCCAGTGTCCCCCCCGAGGCTCCAGTCTTTCTTTCTCCCTTGGGCACAGGCATCCTCTGAGCCCCACGGCTCCTAAATGAGGCCACCCATGCTCTCCATATGAACACCCTGTGAGCAGGTGACAGTGACCCTCCCTGCTGCTGTGCTGGGGAGGAGCCGGGATAGGGAGGACTGGCTGTTCCCAGGGTGGTGCTGGCCCTCTTCTGACCGTGCCCAGCTGCCTGCCTTATCTTCCCCCTGCCCCCCAGGGAGGCCTGACGGCTCCGTGGTGACAGAGCGCATCCGGGTGGACATGCTGAAGGTGGATGCCGTTTTTGTGGGCACCGGGGATCTCTTCGCCGCCATGCTCCTGGCATGGACACACAAGCATCCCAACAATCTCAAGGTCAGCCACACGCTCTGCTTCTGCTGTGCTTCATGGGGAGCTGGTTACCATGGTCCCAAGAGGGGAGCCTGGGCCTGAGCGCCAGTCAAGTTGGGTCGGGGAGGTGATGGCCAGGCTGTGGCCTCTCTCTGCTCCTATGGGAAGGAAGAACAATCAGAGTGCCTTGGGGCTCTGGTGGGAAGATGAGTGTGTTTGGAACACACCCTGGAGTTAACCAGGTCCCACCCCTGAGGAGAAGCCCGAGGTGGAGGGAGCCGCCTGGTGTTAGCGCAGGACTGTGTGAAACTGTTGATGCTTGGTGACCTAGAAGCTGCTTCTAGGAAGACAGCTCAGTACACGTTTGTTTCTTTAAATGTAAACACTGGACAGAAAGGCTGGGAGCTGCCCTTTGGGGACTGAGAGGCAGGAGGCCAAGGACAAGGGCAAGTGCATTGCAGTCGGACTTGGCACCAAAAGCTGTTTTCTGTGCACTGCCCCAAGTCTGCCTCCTGCGTTATGCATTCATGCAGATGCTGCTGGGCAGAGTGGATCCATTGCTAGACTGGGCTTGGTGAACTGGGGTGTGGGGCCTCGGGGCCTTGCTTGTGTGCTGCATGGCTAAGTGCGTAGCTCGGCAGGGGTGTCCCCAGGTTCTTCCACCTCCTCCTGCACCATGTGTGGAAAGGTTGCCTCGTGATCTCTTATCAAACTGCTTTGGTCTGACGCCCCATCCGCTGACAGCCAGAGTTTGTCCTCTTCCAGTGCTGTTGAGCACAGAGTTGAAAGCATGAAGATTTCACAGCCCTGGGCTCATTCAGCCAAGCTCCCTGTGGTGTGTCTCTTGCCGTGTGCCACGGTGGGCTCAGGCGGGCGGGGGCCCTGTGCCCCTTCAGAACACAGGGAAGGGCAGGTGGGAGGGAGAGGCAGCAGAAGGAAGCAGCACTCCTCACCATTGGGTGCACTCAGCGAGAAGGGTTTGGAAGTCAGCATCTGGACGGGGTCCCCTGTCTTTGCTGGGCACCTGGAGGGGCCGCATTTCCCGTGGGTGTGGGCGCAACCCCTCCCAAATAGGTCAGTTAATGGCTGAACTTGTTCGTAAAATGAAGGATGTGGATTGTGCCCCTCACCTCTCATGTGACAAGCCTGCTGCAGATCCTGAACTTGAAGCTGGAACGTGTGGCCCCTCAAGGACAGAGGGCACAACAGGCCTGCAGTGTAAACGGGCAGTGGCGGGAGCTGCCTCTGGTGCAGGGCTGCAGAAACCTGCCGGCTAGTACCAGAGGAGGCCTCACTGCTGGGGCACCCAGGGCCAGTCCTGGTTATGGGGTTGGGGGTGCGTTTCACTTGCTCCCTAGCACCTGTTGAGTCCCCCAAGTTTCTGATCTTGAGACACCAGTGAGTGATGACTTTGGCTGAGTTTCAGGGAGGAGCTTTTCCCCTATAGATCCTTTACAACCAGTGAATTCCAGGATTTCCTACCAAGCACCTGCTACACGCCAGGCAACATAAAGGCCATGCGACACAGCCTCTTCCCAAGAGTCGTCTCTGGTCCAGAGGGAGGTGGTTTGTTTAAGATGCAGGCGTCTGGGCTGGCTGGTCTCAGGTGGTTAGAGTGTGGTACTGATAACACCAAGGTCAAGGGTTTGGATCCCCATACCAGCCAGCCACCAAAAAACAACCCCCAGAACACTCAAAAGAAAAAGTAATATGTAGGCATCTGCTCATCTCTCGCAGGATCTTTTTGTGGGTGGTTCTGCAGTCAGCCATCCACGAGGGCCTGTTTCAAGCACGTGTGATAGAGGAGCCCGCTCCCTGGTGACTCAGAGGGCAGAACAGCACTTGCATTAGCAGGAATCCCCTCCACATGTGACGGGCAGGCCAGGCACAGCAGGGCTAGGGGTGGGGTGAGGTGGGGTGGGGGGTTGGGCTCAGAGTCTCTCTCCTCCCTGCAGGTAGCCTGTGAGAAGACCCTGTCAGCCATGCACCACGTCCTGCAGAGGACCATCCAGTGTGCAAAAGGTATGCAGTTCTCTATGCCTTCCCAGGGGACATGTCCCCATGCCAGCTGCATCTGGGAGCCTTGGTCAGAGAAGTTGGTGGCCGGGGAGACAGCACGTACCTTGAGGGTGACAAGTTTCTCTTGCGAAGGAAGAGGTCACTGCCCTTGGGCTATAGGATTGGGGCCTGCAGTGACATGGATCCCCCCTTTTGACACGGGAACTCAGGAGGAAATTGAGTGTGTTGGGCTGGGACAGAGGCATGGGAAGGAGGAAAGAGGAAAGAAACTCCCAGAACTGCCCCTTCTTCTGCCCCTTCCACAAATCCTTTGCTTGTTCTGCAGCCCAAGCAGGGGAAGGACAGAAGCCCAGTCCAGCCCACCTGGAGCTGCGGATGGTCCAGAGCAAGAAGGACATCGAAGACCCGGAGGTTGTCGTCCAGGCCACGGTGCTGTGAGGGCGCCGCGCACTGGCCCCCCACACAGCATATTGGTATCTGTTTTCGTCCCTGTGAAAAATGTAACGTCTGCCTTAGAGCCACGACCGAAACTTGACATTTTTTTCTTTCATGAGTGTGCAGCATCAACAGGTCTTAATTGTGAAAATGTGCCAGTGTGCTTTTTAAAAAATAACAAAACGATCACAGAAATTTGTGATTTGAAAACCCAGCTCCCCTCCCCCAAGGCATCTGGGCCTCATGAGAACCAGACGGTGTTGACCGTCTCAGGGGTCCCACATGGGTACGTGGTGGTGGGAGAGAGGCTGAGGGCGGGGCCTGCTGTCCCTCGGACCTGGTGTTGAGCCACTGGTTGCTGCTGCTGCTCCATCCTTGCCCCGAGGGGCCGGGCCTGGGGGTAGCACCTGTGTCTTTGCACCTCTGAGAAGGAGAGCTGGGTTTAACCACTGACATCCGGGAGAATTATGCCAAATATCTTTATGTCGTTCTGATTCTACACTCTGTGCTTCTGCATCAGAATTTTTGTTTCTTAACTTGCTGTTCATTAGGAACCTGGGGATTTCAGACCCTGCGCTGTTGTTTAACATATGGAAAGGTTTAATATTAGCTTGCTCAGGTGCACGCTGGTGCCGTGGTTACACTGGCAGGGACCTTTCCAGAGCCCAGCAAGTTCAAATTGGTCTGCCAAACTTCACAGGTAGCAGCAGGAACTGCCGTAACTCACGAGCATCTTCTACGCATTTGCGGAGCACCGTGAGGGAGACACTGGTAAAAAAAAAAAAGGCTGATGCTGGGCCAAGGACAGCTTGTGAAGTTCTGGACAATGACCATGTGGCATTCCTTGTGGCACGTCACCTAATTTGTGGCTTGGTAGGTTAAGTACTGCGGGCTTGCCACATACTTCTGGTGATAGTGCACTGCACCACAGCGTTGTGCACAGACAGGGACAGCAGACAGAGGTGGGCACTCTCCCCCTTCACTTGCAGATTTAACCTTTCTTGCCCCTGCCCTCCCTCCACCCTCGGTACTACGTTCTCTGCCAGCCAAAGGGAGGCAGGAGGCCCCTTCACAAAGCCAGTTGCAGATCTCCACCCCCTTGGAAGTTCTGCTCCCAGAGGGGAGGCTGTTGGCACAGTGGAGGGGCAGCTCTCAGACCCCTTGGGAAGGCTGGGACAGCAAAGGCCACAGTGCTAGCTCTGACACAGTCCAGCTGTCCACTGCTCAGGTGACTTTGCTGGTCCTACTTTGTTCCCAGTTTGGAGTACCCCTAGGCATGGGTGCAGGTGGGGATGCCTGCCTGGATCTCAGCACCCCCAATCCCTGCATCTTGCTCCAGGGGGTGCAGATGTTTGCTCTTCTGCAAACCCATAGCCTGGAGATAACAGAGAGGCTGCAAGAAGTAGGGAGCCTTAAGTGGCCCCCTGGGAAAGCAGACTCTCCAAGGGGTACCCCTGTCCCTTCCCCCGCAGGCGGGCCCTCTCTCAGAGCCTACACCCTCTGTTAACGCAGTTCCAGTATCTCCCAGAAAGATTCCCATCTACTGGTGGTGCATTCTTCATTTTGTTGAAAAATGCACTAAAATGAAGAGGTGCTGGCCTACACTGCCTTTGCCACACCATTCCACCTCCCAGGCTCCCCACTTCACTCCTATTCCGGATGTCCTAACTTCTGCATCTCCCAGGCAGCTGTGCTCAGGGTCAGGGTTGGTTGGCTCCCCTGCCACAGCCAGCGAATCAGGGCGTGGGTTTCCCTGCCGTGTTTCATGGTCCGCAGACACGGATGGCAGCTCCTCCACACCCCGGGGCCCGTGGTCCTTGCAGGAAGGAGGAAGACTGTGGCCAGTTGCCTGACAGAGAGGCAGCCTCTCCAACAGGCAAGCACAGGGGCCAGCCAAACTCAGGCTACAAGGCCTATAGAGGACCCTTGACAGGAAATACTGTCACAGCCAAGCAGATTGCCAGCAACAGAAGAAGTTTTTTCCCCTTCTTTATCAAGAGCAAGTGTGGGACTGGGGAAGGAAATGCATCTCTTTTCAATGAGACCATGAAAAACTCCCTGAAAATGCAGCATTGGTGTAGGGGCTGATTCTGTGTGTGCAGCAGATTCTAAGGACAAGGTGCCGTGTGAACATGTGCTGCTCAATTCTTCGTCCCGTAAAGGTTTCATTTCATAGGCTTTGTCCCCACGTTAGGGTTATTCTTTGACTTTCTATATTATGCGTAGAACGATGAGGATCATTCCACCCTCAAGAGCGTCCTGTAAAATCGTGAACTCTGGTCCATTCTGAAACTTTCTCTTCTGTCTTCTGTGGCTGTACAGCCCTGAGGCAAGGAGTAGTTGTAGCTTGTCACGTGGCTAAGCAGGAGGGATTTGGGGGTTTCTTTTAATTTTTTGCGGCTAGCTGGTGCAGGGATCTTAACCCATTACCTTGGGGTTATAAGGCTGTGCTTTAACCAACTGAGCTAACCAGCCAGCCAATTTGGGGGTTTCTGAGTCCTGGTGCCTTTGTGGAGTGCGGGACTTATGTAGAAATAATGTGAGTGTCTATGAGAAGACAGTGCCCACATCCCCCCTCCACAAGCCAGGTGTTCTTACACCAGGATGTTGGTGGAGTCTGCACAGTCTTAGGCTTATTTCCACGCAGACGTGTTCCATCTCCAACTCGAGCAATGGCCCTGGGCGATCTTGGTTTACAGTTTCCCATCCAGGAAGTTAACCATGGACATTGGCGAGGGTGTTTGATACAACTTGTATCCAAATTAGAATTAATCTTTGTTTTTGATTTCCATAGTTTAGTGACATGCAAAATAATAATAATAACTTATTTTATAATGAAAGCAGTATTAGCCCAGAATTGCCTGCTGATTGTCAGCGTACAGAATTTTAATACTTTCTTCATCCAGTTTTTCAAATCTTCTCTTGTAGACCTTAAGGATGAATTACAAAATATCCTTTTTTAAATCAATTTTAAATCATTGCCTGGTCCAGCTAGGGTAATTGTGTGCATCTAGTTATTTTTGTAATACATGTCATTTGTAAAAATGATGCTGAATGTCCTATTAAACTTGTTAGAGACAATTTTTAAAATGTTTAATTTATGGTGGACCAAGCCAGGCATGTCTTTACTGCACCGATGAGTAGATAAGGATTTTTTTAGTGTTGGGAACAGTGGGTAAAAATGCTGCCTGCATCCAGGCTTCCTGAGTCTAGGTAGAGCCACGTGGCACCAGACTCGCTGAATGTTTTCATTGCACCATACAGCCCTCTGCAGGCCAGAGGTGCCTTCCCTTCCAGTTGTCCCACATGGCTCCTTGCACTAAGACTCCCTGGAGAGCTGGCTCCCTTGTCCATCCAAGGAGCAGGTTGGATGGGTGCTGACCACCAGAGCCAAGTGGGCACTCAGAAGGACCCCAGGACCTGGGCAGGGTGGCTCTGGAAGGTCAGGCCTGCTGCCCAAAGGTCAATCATTAGCCCTAAGCCAGGGAAGCCTTGAACTTGGTCCCCAGGATGTGGGTGGACATCATCCCCCCCAGGGCTCCCAGCATGGTGGAGGAGGGCCCGTGCACAAGCGGTCTGGTAGATTGGGCAGAGCTGGGCATGTGTGTGTGTATTGCATGTCCGAGTTATGGTCACTTTCTGCTGACAGGTGCAGCATCTGACAGAGGCAGGTGCTGGCTGGCAGTCCATTTCTTATAGTCAGCACTGTGGTTTCTGCGCACTTCCCGCTCCTACCTGCAGGGGTTGCAGTGAGGCCAGAGGAGCCCAGGTGGTGGCGGGCTGTGGAGACCCCACCCTGTGCCCACCACCCTGGTACATTAAACATGAGCCTCCCTTCTAGGGGATTTGTTTTTTCAGTAAGTCAGTCTTGCTCTGTTAGGCACAGAACCAGACTTTGTGCCTGCCTTACAGTGAGTGGTGGGCCGAGTGGTGTCTCCATCTGCAGCGCCTGGTGGGGATCGTGGTGGCACCAGAGCTGTCTTAAAGCTGGTGCCTGGGTGTCCTGCTACACAGCTGAGGTTTAGTTACTAAAGTTGGAGGCTTCCTGTTGTGTGTGTGTCTTGCTGAGTCTGCAGTTTATTCCTGGTGCAGGATGTTTTCTGTTCTTAATGTGGGAGAAACTGATTAAAAAACAGCATCTTATAAACCAGAGGTCTGCCTTCTGTTACAACACAGCGCATTCATTTGTTTAAAACAACTTAATGAGTAACTTTAGATCTGACTTAGTGAATAATTTAAAGCTTTATATTTATGGAAAATTTTTTCCTAGCTTTTTTTTTTTTAATTCTGGAAGAATAAAAGGTGTTTGAAAAGTGTCCCCACTGTCTGAGGCACACAGGGCCCTGTCCTCAGAGCGGGAGGCCTTAGCTTCCATCTCTGACCCTGCATGGGGTAAACCTTGCTGGGGGACCTCCAGCCTCTGCTCTGGTCCCTTCCCCAATCCACTGTGGGGCAGTTCCTGATCTTTATGCACCAGGAAACCCATTTCCAGTGGGAAATGTTGTCAGGAGGCCATGGGGCCACTCACCCCGCCAGTGGGGCGTCACTGCCCTGCAAGTCACTTCTGAAATGGAAAGCAAGGGCAAGCCCTTGGCCCAGCAGAATTGGGTGGGTGGGAATGAGGAGAGACAATGCCGCCCTGAGCCCCCATGCTTGGGAAGCCCCCACACAGCCTTAGTGTGGTGAGACAACTTCTCCTAAGTAAAGCCATGGGTCCAGCCTTACTCGCGTGTTCCCAGGGCTGGCCGTCTCCAGGACACCCGTGGAAGCGCCCTCCTCCTGGCTTAGAGCTGAGTGGCCAAGTTGGCAGTGTTTGGAGCCACTCGAGTTACTTTCTGTCCCAGGACCAGCTCCTGGCATGAGGAGGGTGGGACTGTGGCTGGTGGGACAAAAAAGAGCAATCGGTGGGCTCAGCAGACCCTCCCAACATGTCCCCAAGAGTGACAGGAGCAGGGAGCAAACCTCAGAGCTCAAGTCCAAGTAACCACAAGGTGTCTGATGCTGTGTTGTTGATGACAGGAGGGGTGGAGGTTAATGTTTTTGGAAACAGATTTGAGTGCTAGATGAAGTCTCTGAAGGACAAGACGTGAGTGACGTTTTGAATGCTTTAACTCTATAGCTGCATAATTCCTAATTTAGAACTTCAGTCAGAATTTCATCCAAATATTGCAAAACTGGATCAACGGGAGGACTGAGGTCCTGGCCCGGTTCCTGCCTTGGAAGCAGCTTGGCTTCTTGGGGGCATCTCAGCCTTTGGGACACAGCATGTGTCACCCACGGTCCCTGCTGCCAAGCAAGGGACCATCTCTGAGGTCCTGGGGGCAGCTTCATTAGCCCAGAGTCCTCCAGGCCTGTGTTCTGTGCTGCGTGATGTGTTTGTAAACATCAGTAACTGTCAGCATTGTGTAGCCATGTCTGTTTTGTGCTGGTCCTGTTGACCTCTGTGATTATCCACAAATAAATATTTTCATGGTGATTGTGCTGAGGTGTGATGGTTTCTTCCCACCTTAGGGATTCCCTCTTCTCTACTATCTGTGTGTTACTCAGAGCTGCCTTGTCCAGCCAGCCAAGCTTGCTTACTGCCAGAAACGGTGGCACCTGATTCCTAAAGGAAAGGGCATGCCCAGTCCCTGCCCACATGGACTGGGCCCCCCACCTCCCGTCTCATCAGTTCTCTGTCCTGGGGGCAGGCAGCGGGCACCCGGGGCCGCGGGGAGCCCCAACTTCCCTCTCATCCCTGAGGTCTCCCTTCTGCGGCCTCTCCTGCCAGATTCTGAGGACCAGCTTTGGCCACCAATTGAGCATCTGCTTCTTCTGGGCTCCGGTGCCTGCCTTGGCCGTTCACAACTGGGTGGTGACATTGTGGTGGGTGCTGTTGGCTCAGCGGGTACTGCTCTCCTGTGACTCATCCACCCCTTTGTAAATAAACCCTCAGGCCGTTTCCAGCCACACCAGACTCATTGCTCTGTGCCCAAAAAGTGAGGATGGGAGAGGACTGTTCAGCAAAATCAACCCCTCCCACATAAGACCCCCAATGGCCTGGAGGACACTGGGCACCAAAGACCCCAGACTGTGAGGACCACGCAGATGAGAGGATGGGGTGGCCGAGGCCCAGCATATCCTTCCTCGTTTGTGGAATTCTGCTGTGCATCTGCACCCGCCAGCTGCACCTTCCTGTCCACTGGAGCCTGATCCTGGTGGATGAGTGTCCTGCAGCTGCTATAACACAGTTTCACAAACCAAGTGGTTTAAAGCAACACAAATGTGTTATTTATTATAAGTTCTGCAGGCCAGAGGTCTGAAAAGGGCTGGCAGCACTCCGTTGCTTCTAGAGGCTCAAGGGAGAACTTGTCTCCTTGCCCTTCCCAGCATCCAGAGGCTGGCTGCCTGCCTTCCTTGGCTTGTGGTCTCTGTCTTCAGAGCCAGCAGCGCAGCGTCCTCAAGTCTCTCTGACCCCAGCACTCTGCCTCCCTCTTGTAAGGATACTGTGGTGACTTTGGATCCACCCAGATAATCCAGGGACATCCCCATCTCCAGATCCTTAGTTGAATCCCATCTGCAAAGTCCCTTTGCCATGTAAGGTTCCATATCCACAGGGCCTGGGAATGAGGACGTGGACATCTTTAGGGGCCAGCATTCAGCCAGCCACATCCTGGGATGGGAGATGGGGGGTGGGAGGAAATGGGCAAGTCCTGGGTCAGTCACCTTCCCCCTCTGAGGGTCTGAGCCAGATGTCCGGCAGGAGGATCACACTGGGCCCTCAAACCTCAACCATGGTGAGGACAACTCCCACCGGGTACTTCCTCTGGTGGGGCAGGAAAGGCTGGCCTTGAGTCCAGGTCCTGCCCTTGAGACCACTTTAGCTGAAGGCTTTGCAAGTTTGGGTTCCTAGAAAAGAGTCTGGGTCACAGCTTCAGCTTAAGTGGCTCGGGAGGTGAGGGTGCTGTCTCAGGCTGCCGGAGTGAGGACAGAGGAGGGGAGGGACGGCGTGTGACGGAGTGAGGACAGAGGAGGGGAGGGACGGCGTCTGCCACAAACAGCTCACTGGCTTCCAAAACTGTCTTATGTGCCCTTAGGCGCCCAGGAATGCCTGTCACCCTTGGGCTATCACCACAGCAATGCCTATCACCCCGGGAATGCCTGGACTTTTGGTCACCCCCACCTCCACCCTGCTAGGACTTGTTCAAGATCCTGTTGTTCAGCTCATTATGTGCCCTTAGGCGCCCAGGAATGCCTGTCACCCTTGGGCTATCACCACAGCAATGCCTGTCACCCCGGGAATGCCTGGACTTTTGGTCACCCCCACCTCCACCCTGCTAGGACTTGTTCAAGATCCTGTTGTTCAGCTCTGCATGCCGAGGTGGGCTGTCCAAGGCAGCCTGGCCAGTGTTGGTTAAGCTGAACTCTCCAGGGGCCTTGGAATCTGAAACACGTCCTCTCCCCTTCCAGAACTCTGCCTCAGTTCCTGCAGTGAGGAAATCCCCTATGGTGTGCCATCCCAGGCTGGCTCCATAACAGCTTTCACCTGCCCAGGCTGGCCTGGCCCCTTCTGCCTTGTAGCTCTGCAGTCCCTGCAGCGTGGCCCTTGTCCACGTGCCAGGAGGCTGTTCCCTGCCAAGTTCACACCCTGGCCCAGGGAGGTGGGGGAGGGGGAGATGGCAAGTGCCTCTCTGCAGTTCTTTTTGGTAATAGCTTTATTGAGATACAATTCACATTTCATACGGATTCAGTCATCCCAAGGGTGGAATTCAGGACCTGGTTATAAAGGGAGCACTGTTGACAAGGACACTAAGGTAAGCCTGAAAAGGTGTCCCCAAAATTCATGTTCACCCCGAACTTCAGGGTGACTTTGAAAATAAGGTCATTGCAGATGTAATTAGTTAAGATGAGGTCATACTGGGTTAGGACCCTAAATCCAACGTCTGGTGTCCTAAGAAGACTACCATGTGACAGCTGAGGCTGGGGTTGGAGTGATGCAGCCACAGCCAAGGATCGCTTGGGGTTGGGCAGCCCTGGAGAACTGAGGTATCACGGTACTTCAAAATGAGGGCCCTTGTGGGGGCAGAATGGGCCCCTGAGACCTGGGACAGGGACACTTGGTGGGATGAGACTGAGGATCTTGGCTCCCAAACTCCTTGGTGTGGCCCTGGTAGCAGCGCTGTCCCCGCACCCCCTTACTAAAGGAGAACAGGCCTCTACACCTGCAGACCACACGATGACCGCTCACCTGTGGCAGATCCTCATGGGATGGCCCTTGCTCCTTTCCCATCTGCCTCCAGCTCCTCTCGGTGCTCCAGGGCTACCGCCAGTCAGGTCTCAGCCAAGCCAAGTGGGAAGCACGCCCTGAGCCGAAGGAACGCCCATATTCCCTGCAATTTCGGGGAGGTGCCCAGAGCTGCACCAGGGTCTGCTGAGATGGCTCCCTGCAGCCTGGACTCGCCATGGCCTGAAGCAATTCTGATGGAGCTGCAACCTCAGACCACCTCTGCTGCTAGGTGTGTTTCCACTGTAACCCAGCCACATGACAGAGCCCCCCCATGGAGCTGGAGGCAAAGCAGGTCTGGGCCTACCCAAGACCCATGGCATTGACGGGTTCCAAACCTGCACAGGCACACACCGCCTGCAGCAGCAGCCCTGTCTCTAACGGAAGCCATGGCCTCTCTGCCCAGGGAGGTGGCCAGGCTGCACGACCCCTGAGCTCTGTCTCCTTAAATCTCTGGCTACCACTGGCCCCACTAGCAACAAGGCCAATGGAGCAAACTTTACCTCCAACTCTGAATCAAACCCAGGACTTCACAGCCGGCTACTGGGCAAGGCCACATCGCCAGTGCCCTGGCCGGGGCTGTGGTCCGGGCTCCTGAGGATGTCCCCGGCTGAGCCCCCAGCTTGTCCCCTGGAAGAGCATATCCTGCCTGCACCCAGGAACATTCTCAGGCACATCTCAGTCCATGGAGGGTGGGCCACAAGGCAAGCCACGTTTTGTGGCCAGTGGTACATTTGGGTTGTAATTCTTCTTATCCCAGAGCTCAGGGCCACCTCCAGACATGCAAGGGCCTGGGCAGGCTAGTGGCTTAGTGGCCCTTAGGATGTGTGTTCTTGGATTTGTTGACCCTCAAGAAGCACAGAGGTGAGCACTGCCGTGGGGAGGGGTGGAGGAGGAAGGGTGTAGGCCAGTCAAGCCCCGTTCCACTCAGCTGGCCCACGCAATTCTGCTTGGCTCCGACCGTGGCTCCCAGGCCAGGCGTTGGCCTCCTGAGGAGCAGTTTGTCCACACCTGTTATTCCAGCTGGACCTGGGGGTCTCACCTGCCCCAGCAGGTCAGCCTCATGGTCATATGCAGCCTTCTCTGTGAGACCATTTCTGGGAAATGCAGCTCTCTGCACCCCAGCACAGAGTTGCTGCTGCTGCCTCTCCCCAGGTTCTCATGTCCCTGCAACAGCTCAGCAGCGGCTCCTTGATCTAGCCTCACCTGAACTCCACTTGGTTTTATGGCCACACCTGCTGCAAGGAGTCTGGGAAGTGTCTTTTTTTTATCAGGACCCAATTCTGTAGTTCTGGGAGAATGGGTCTGGGCAGGGAAGGGTCAGTATCTGGTCACTGTTATCACAAGCCCTGTCAGAGGGGCCCTGTCTGGCTTGCTCTGCAGGCCCTCCTCAGATTGCACTTTCAGATGTGGGAAGGCAGGGAGGGGAGACCTGGAGGGACAGGTGCTCGTGAGCTCAGTTGAGTCTCCAGTGGCTTTGCCTCACCACAGACAGCAAAGGGCTGGCCATGTTGTGGGGAGTCTGAGGAGCATGAGCTTTCAAATGCCAGAGCTATGTCCCCTGCCTGTTGGGATAGAAAACGGGACTGATGCTCCTTGCAAGTCGCTCAGTTAGGACTTCTAGGTACTCCACCTGCCACAGAATGGTCAGGTTCCCCAGTGTGCAATTTTCTCTCTTACACAACTTACCTCCAGTTATTATGCTATCTCATTGAGTCTCATCTAAATCAGCTAGCCCTGCTTTATAGCGGTACCTGTCCTGATAGCAGTTAGAGGAGAGAGTGCCATGAGGGTATGGCGCCATCTCCCCAGCTCCTCTCCCAACAGCGAGGACACCATTAGCCGTGCTTCACTGCCCCACCAGGATCCTCCCCTACCAGGAGTGTGGCACCTCTGCGCCGCCAGGGAACTTGGGGCAAACCCTTCAGGCTTTGGGGAAATTGACGCATGCTGAGAACTCTGGGTGGAGGATGAAGGCCAAGACTTGACAGAGGCTGGCTGCCTACGCCCTGCCTCGAGGGCTTAGGTGGGGTTCTGTGACTCAGGTGGGACGGGTCCCTTGCCTAGTACCTGTTCAACATGTCCCAGTGGACACAGATGGCTCCCACAGGCAATTTGAGGAGCATTTAGTAAATGGGCTGTTTGCAGCGTGTGGAAACAGTGCTTACTTTCAAAACGGGGCCACGTTAATGGCTCTCAGGCACTCTGGACCGTGCTCATGACCCTCCTCACGCCTTTCCTGAGACTCGAACTTGGTACAGGGGCTGGAACACTTAGTGTCACCATATGTGGGCACTGTGCTGTTTCTCCTGGGCCCTCTGCAGTCTAGTTAGGCAGAGTTTGTAAGATGCCAGCCCCTAGAGCAGGGCAGATGCAGGCCAGGGAGGGGACTGGGCCCGGGGGTGGGGTGGCTGTCATGGGCCACTGCCTGCCTGGCTTCCTGTGCCACTTCTTTAATGTTGCTGAGGCGGGATCGTTCTGGGGAAGCAGCCTCCCTTTATCAACTTGTATTTAAAACCAGACCAAGAGCTCCACATTGTCTTCTCAGGCCTCCAGGGTCTGAAGGTGAAGAGGCCCATGCAGGCCCCAGCACGTAGGTCTCTGACATTATCCGTGCAAGGGCTGAGGGAGGACCTGGGCCCCAGGGCCCTGGGGGATCCACCGTCATCATGCAGGAGTGCAGCCGACCTGACCACCAGACTGCTGGGCACCTGAGCCCTCCACTAGCCCCATTCCTGGACAAATGACTCCCCTCAGGGAGTTGCTCAGCACCATGCCACAAGGCTCCCCCAGCTGCCTCAAACACATCACGTTCCCGCCCAACTTGGAGCCCTCCTCTCTGCTGCCACACCCAGACAGTCTCAGTCTGCGCCTTCAGCCTCCACTACCTCCTCCTCAAGCTTCGGGTCTCAATGTGGGCATGGCCTCCTCCAGGAAGCCTTCTTGCCACCCTGCCGACACATCTGTTTACCTCCTGCAGCAGCCCCCCGTAGAGAACTTAGCACAACTTCACGTCTGTGAGGTTTGCCGCCCCCAAGCCCTGAGCACCAGGAGGGGCTGAGCCCACGGTGACCACCTCCTCCACGGTGACCACCTCCTCCACGGTGAGACTCTGGCCCATCCTCAGAGGGCAGGAGCTAGAACAGCAAGTATGATGACAAAAACACTTTTGTCACGAGCACACACCAGATCTCCAAGCCAATTCTTCTTCCGATGCTTTGTGAGGACAGTACCCCACTTGGATGAAATTGATAATGTCATAGAATTTTGGTCCCTTTATCAACTTGTATTTAAAACCAGAGCACAGTGTCAGCTACATCTTTTACTTCCTATTTTACAGTGACATGGATATTTCCTGCTTATGTATGAGCTGCTAACTCTAAATCCTGCTTCTCCCCACCCAGGTCCTGTTCCTGCTGATTCCTGCTCCCTTCCTGTTGGCCCCTTTTAGCACCCTACATGGTGTCTCCCCAACCCCCGATCCCACCTCCCGCCAGATGTTCCCAGGTGGGAAATATATTAGGTCTTCATTTCAATGCAGAATTGCTTGGCTCTGGGTTTGTTATCAAAATTTATTCTTTGCGTTCATATAAAGAGAATATGAAATACATGGCTCATGATTCAATTTTCTGCCGCCACTTTCAAAGCTGTGTGGACTCACCATTAGATCCCTCCCTGGTCTTCATTACTCTCAGAACCTGGCCAGCCCAAATCCTGCAGCTACAGACCCAGCACAAACTGCCACACGCCTCGGAGGCCAGGTGCAGTTCAGGAAACCCTCAGGAATATGCTTTACATCAAGGTCCTGAAGCACAGAGAAATCTCACCCAGCAGTCTTCATGCTCAGAATGTGTGACACTCTCTTCTACTCAACACAGAATCACAGGTGAGAAACCACTGGGTTGCTTTCACTAATGGAAGCAGCTTCTGTTGAAAACCAGAAAGCATTTTTAAAATAGACATGCTCTTCCCCAGATGCCTCCCTCTTCAAACACAAGCAGCTGCACAGGTAAGTTCAAGGTTGTCCACACTGTGCAGCACCCAGGTAAGCAGCTCAGTTTGCATGTACAGTTACAAGGTTACTGCCTCTTCTGCATGAGCCTCTCTCTAGTGCAGGATAAAGTGTGCAGATGTGTCCAAATAGATCTAGAGCAACACTCTAGAACTGGATTTACTCAAGCCCTTGTTATTTTATGGGGGGAAACTGAGGCTTGGGGACAGATCCTAGAGTTAAAGCGGCAGCACGTGGAGAGCTGTGGTTGGGAACACAGGCAGCCTGAACTGTGTCACGTCAGCTGCAAAGGAACTTTATAAACACCTGTGTTAAAGGAAAAACACACACTGAAGTGTGTTTCCTCTACTATTAGCCACAATCACAATCCACACAGGAAAGTATGGTGACCAAATGTGTGGGGAGCTCTAACAGCCAGCAAGCAGTTCTGTAGCAAACACCATGGGGGTACCTTGCAGTTTAATTCTGACACTATTTACCTGGAGATAGATCCCACAGGCTGATGGCTCAGTCCCCAAGACTGTCACTCCCACCCATCCACCCACTTCTGATGCCAGTCACAGGTCCAGGCCTCTGGAACTTCTGACCAACCAGTTAAAAATCAGGGTTCCCATAACCCTTTCTTTGGGTTCGATTAGTTTGCTTGAGCAGCCCACAGAACTCAGAGAAACACGTACTTATGTTGACTGGTTTATTGTAAAGGATATTACAAAGATACAGATGGAGAGGTGCACAGGGCAGGTATGGGGGGAGGGACATGGAGCTTCCATGCTCTCCCCAGGGCACCACTCTCCAGGAACCTCCACGTGTTCAGCTATCTGAAGCTCCCTGAACCCTGTGCTCCTGGTTTCTGTGGAAGCTTCATTATGCAGGCATGACTGAGGCATGGACAACCATGTAAAAACATATTTGGACAAGAAGGGTCTGATCTAACAGCCTGGGTGGGAAGCCCAGCGAGGCCTGTCTATTCAGGTTCTTCTCAGCCTCTCTCTGCAGCCTTCCTTCCTCCCGGCATGGGGCAGGGCCCCTCCTGAAACGGGGGTCTTATGACCTACAATCGGCTAACTTAGGCCAGAGGATTTCCTGCCTCGGGGAGAAAAAAGAACAAGTGAAAGGAGGGCAGGAGACGTCAGAGAGAAGGAACTCTGTTTTCTGAGGCTACAGCGTCCCAGCACTGTAACAAAAGAACAAGTGTTATGTGAGTTATGAGCCAGAACCGGGGATGAAATCTAATGTGTAAATATCAGAATACCACAACCTGTCACTCTCACCTTCCTGGCACATCTAGGTTGTAATACAGTTTCAAATGAAGAAAAAAAAATCCAAAACAAAGGAGGAAATTTGTAAAGACTTCAAAATATATATAGATATTTAAAGATAATATATAACCCTCTTTGATAGTAATTAGATCATTGATTGGGAAGAAAAAAATCAATACAATAAAATTTAGGAACAGAAATGCAAGAGAAGCCATTTAATACTGCCCCCTCCCCCCCAAGTGGCACAGCATGGAGATTAAGTTTATTCTGTGATCCCGAATACATGCCCACAACAACAGAGAATCATATCAAGTGTGAGTGATGTGGACGAAGGGCCCTCCTCAAACTCAGGAATTAGAAATAGGTCAGCTCGTCGTGCCTGGCTTTGTTGGTCTGGTAGTCAGACAAGGTCAAGGGCTTGTTTTCATGAGGGAGGCTTCTGAATACTCGCAGGTGTACGAAGTCATCATCACCAACATGAACCTGGAAAGAGAGAGTCTGCTGAGGGAGCAGGTGCAGCCTCTGGTCCCCAGTCCCCTGCTTGACTGTACTGAGTGTGAGGAGGGCATGCAGGGCCATGGCCCTGGAAGTGTGATCGCGGCAGTGGGGCTGATGACAATTTCCATCTCCTCCTGTACATGTAGCAACAGCCCCAGCACCCCACATTTGTCCCATCAGAGTCCTTGGTTACTTGAAAGCCTTAGCCCTTCTCCCAAGTTAGGCCAACGTGCATACACGTACACACATGCACACACACTAAAGCCATGAATCCCTGAAGCTGGGGACAGCCACAGGACCCCCATTAGGCACCTCCACCCTGGCACCTGAGCCCACACCACACAGGCTACACCCAGCACCCACTTGGGCTCAGGCCCTTCTGCATGGCCCATACTCCACCTTGATGAAGTAGTTCATCCCTGCCACCACCTGGCTCTTGAAGGACACGGCCTTAAAAATGGGAAACTTCTTCTTTTCCTTCTCTTCAAGCTGGGCCCTCACCTGGCAGGAGGGGAGAGATAGGGAAAGACTTGGTGGCTTCCCTCCTGCGGGAGGAACTTCCAGCACACGTGGGGTTCCACCGCCAGCCTTCCACATATTTTCCTTAACTCGACTGTCCCTTATCGCCTAGGGGACATGGTAAACTGCTAACTCTACTGATAAAGTAGAAAAAGCCAACTCCTTATTAATTCTACCAAAGTTTTAACAATGCTCCTTCAGTACATCATCTGCCCTTTCTCTGCAAGGAATGCACATTTTTATATTTTTATCATCACAACACTAGATACAAGTTCATACCCTGTTTTTCACTTAAAATGCAAACAGTTCATCTGAAAGACTGTACATCATTTTCAATTAATCTTCTAAAATTAAATATTTTTAATTAAATGTAATCTCAAATTATATTTAAATTGAACCTTCCATTTCACAGTCACGCGTTTGTTCTCTAAACGAGTGCCCCTGCTGCGAGCATACATGCCGCTCCTAATTTCTGCTGCAGCAGATAATGCAGCAGGGAATGCGCTTTGCAGGTGAAAAGCTGTTTACCTGAATTTTGAGACGATTCCTTTAGGGTATAGTGCTTTGGACAGAGGCTAATCTCAACCTTTGTGTCAAACAGTAGACCTACTTTTGATGCAATCCTGTCTCCTAGGGTCTTTACCTTTTAGGAGCTGATCACCTTTATGGTGGGTAGAAAGAGCAAGTTTGCCTTTTAAAAAATTTTAAAAATCTAATGTAGTTTAAAAGGAGTCTTGCCAGTGACTAGAGGATTACGGGCTTAGTTTAACAAAACAAAACAAACAAGCGGTAGGAAGCATGCTAGATGGGAAACAGAGTCACCCAGTAAACAGGTGATGGAATCTCTAAGGCAATCTGACCAAAGGCACTGTCCCCTCCCAGCACCTTCAGGGCGGGGCCCTTGCTGGGGACAGCCAACGAGAGGTAAAGACTGAAGTCTGGATGGGAAGACGGTGCAGTTAGGAGAAGGCACCGGCCTGTGCCCCCTACTCTCTGCACGCAGCTGGCACGTTTCTCACTGCGCTGGGGCCAGGGCCTCCCCAAGTATGAAGACCAACCTGTAGCACCCTTCTCCATGCAGGGTGCTGTGCTGGGCCTGTGGGGACACGCATACCAATGCAGTGGCCCTCGCCCTCAGACAATGACAGGCCCAGGCAGAGCGACACCCACAAACCGGCCTAGGGGCCGAGCAGATGAGGGACAGGTAAAGCACAGGGCCCCAGGTGGCTGGTAAGAATGCGTGCCTCTGATGTCTTTCCAACTTCGTGCCAGTCTCTGGTCTCTATGCTCCTCTTCTGCACAGTGGGAGGCAGGAGCACTCAGCCCAGAGCCTCCCGCAAGGAGCAATAAAAACAGGCACAACCAGGCGGTGCTGGTGAATGTCCCCGCCTTCTCCTCTTCCTTGAGACCATCCAGCAAAGGGACAGGCCTCGTCAACACCTGCAAGGAAAGAACACGCCCAGTGCAGGCTAAACTCATCAGGCCCGGAGAGAGGAGAGCATGGAGCTTCAGTCACGTCCCCAGGGCCCATGTCCCACATACAGGATAATTGCCAAAAGGCATCCTTCAGCAAGAGTTTCCAGACCAGGTGCCACCACCAACAGGGTATAAACTACCCAGATGTTATTACTAGGTATACCATGTGACTCTGGCTCTTTTATTGCTATGTTCCTGGAAATTTGAAGCAAAGAACAATGTGTAGCCAATCAGTACCTCATGTTACTTTAGTGAACCAATGGAAATTCTTGGCAAACAACTTTGGAATTGCCCCTTAACTTCTCCTTTGTGCATTTAAATATCTGTTTGTACCTGCTACCAGACGCAGCACAGTTCCTAGGCAACTTGGGTCTGTGTTTCCCAGGTTGCAGTCCTCAAATTTGGCCCAAATAAACTTTGTTTTGTATACTTTTGCCTGTTTCTTCCATTAGTTTGACGCCTGCCTTAAACTTTCTCCCAGCAGCAAAGGCTGCTGGCCACTGATGTGTCACTGTGAGATAATGACTCTTCTCCTGTTCCCGTGACAAACGAGGAATTTCTAAGGCTGGGCTTATGAGTGGCTGTGGGGAGGACAGAGGAACCACTTCTCCAGGCGTGGTCCCACAAGTAGTCTGGGCGCCTATTTGGAACAAATTCCTCATTTTCAAAGGTCTCATGGGACTGACTCACCAGAATTTACTGCAGTCAGATGGTCAAAATCACCTGCATGGTGACACTGTGGGCTGACCTCATACAACCAGGAGTAGGAAGAAGCAGCAGGGAGAAAAGTTAAAAGGGAAAGAAGTGCATTTTTCCTCCTCTTACTCAAAACGTGAGCCTTAGCCTTTCCCTGGTAGTAAAGAATCAACTTTGTAACAAAGAAGGACAGGTAGGGCGGGCCTGGCTCGCTGAACTCTAAGGGTTTCACATATGTTAAGTCATTTAACCCTCCCCGGAGTCCTCGGTGCAGGTGCAGCGCATTAAGGTGCCCTGTTACAGATGAGGAAACCCAGGCATAGGGAGAGCGAGCAGCTGCCAGGGTCTGCCCTCTGCAACCCAGTCTGGTTTTCATTTTGTTTTTTTGTTTTCCCTTTCTATTTAGACATCATTTCAAACTCACAGTTTGGGACACGGCTAGGATAAAACAGTGTAAAGGACACCGCGTGCCCGTGTGTTTTCACGTCTCTGCCTCCCCACGGTGGCTCCTGACCCTGCACATCTGTACATTTCCTAAGATCGGAGGGGCGTGCTCTCCGCAGCCGCGCGCGCTGTCGGCCTCGGCCTGGCACGCCCGCAGCTCAGTGACCCTCCCCCTCGGAGCCGGCGGCAGCCACGCGTGCCGCGGTGTCCGCGGGGGTCCACGCAGGCTCTGCAGCCCAGCGTCCCCGCCCCTCCCGGGGGCTCCGGGCGGGCCGCGCCGAGGCCTCACCTGATCGGCGATGTCCTGGGTCTCGGCCGTGGCCGGCTGCGTGGCGGAGGCCGCCCCGCACATCATCGTGGCGGCGCGGCGGGGACCGGCCGCCGTGGACGGAGACGTAGGGCAGGTCCCCGCGGGCAGCCTGGCCCCCCACGCCGCGGGCGCCGTCTCCGGGCGGAGGGCCGGTGTCCGGAAGGAGCGTCCTCCGCCCGGGTTGGTGTCGTCCTCCCCCGAAGGCCGAGTCGCGGGGACCCGGGTGGGCGTGGCCCTGACGCCAAAGGGCGCGGGGCGCGGGGCGCGGGAGGGGGTCCTGACCCCATGGGGCAGGAGTCCAGGCGGACCCGGAGGACCCCCGGACTGGGCTGTGGTGCTGCGGGGCGTCGGGCTCAGTGTGCACCTCTCAGTGCCTTTGTGGAGAGACTGCGGGAACCAGCCTCAGAGGCTCTACTTGAAGGACTGGATGAGTTAAGTGTGAAAAGCTTGGGAGAGCGTCTGAGCTCCAGGGTGTGTCGGTAGTGTTGTTATTGCTACTTGCTGTTACAAGTATATTAACATGTTTTACCTGTAACTTGCATTACATTTTCTATAGAAGGCCCTGGAAAATACTTTTACCTCCCTTTCCTTGATACCAGTTTTTCATCTTACCGAACAGGAGGGAATCAATATCCTGTCTCCCGCCTAGAGTCCCAGGGGACCCACTCCAATGGCCTCGAACATCACTTATGTTTGAAATCTGTGTTCAGAAGAATCAAATTTTTAAATTAAATTCAAGCTGTTTTGAAATCTCCCTTGTGAAATCTCTGATTTTCCCAAGGTAAGTATAACCTAAGTTTTTAAAATTAATTAATTAATTGATTTTCTTCCTGGAGTCTCACACTACCTTCTCCCCTAGCAAGCTGGCCCAGGCGTGGGTGGGTGGGTGTGTGTTTGCTTTCCTGTTAACACTCTTAAGCAGGTGACTCATACCCGTGTTCCTGGTTCCAATCAGTTGCTTGTGTTTGCATCATGTAAAAGTGTCATCGTTAGCATTTGTTGCTAATTAAATTCTAACTTAAGAAACTCTTTGGTTGAGAGAAAAAGATGAAGCATTTAAACTGTAGAGACCAAGGAAAGACATCCCCTTCAGCCCCCTCAAGGTTCTCTGAAAAATCACCTGATAAACATGGATTCATGGGAAGAAAAGGCATAACAAACTTTATTCTGTCATAGTCTTAAATGACACGGAAGCCTTCAGGATAAAGATCCAGAGATGTAAGGAAAACTGTCCATATTTATGCTTAGGTTCTATGAGGCAGGCACAGCCGTGTACAAGAAAGGTGTGATCTAATGCTCATAGGCTGAGCAGAGAAACCCAGCCAGGCTGGCCAGACTCTTCTTGGCCTCTCTCTGTAGCGTTCATTCCTCCAGGGTATGGGGCAGGACCCCTCCTGAAATGGGGGTCTTAAGACCTACAGTCAGACAAGGTAGGTCAGACAATTTCTTTATGGCCAGCTCCAAGACAGGCATGGGGAAAATTGGAGTATAATTTTAGTCTTTATGGCTGGTTTTGGGAAAGGGGTCCTCATTTTTGTTACCCGCCTTGGGAAAGAGGGATTCTGGTTTCTGTGGATTGCCTCAAGAGTGAATGAGGCTGAGAGACAGGTGGGCATGAGAAGGTCAGAGAGTAAGTTTGTTTTTAAGGCTGTTTCTGAGGCCTTCCCTTTGGGGTGTCACTTTCTGAGCACCAACAAAACAATTAAGCACTTATAAGCTACCAGCTCATCTTCAGTACCAAGGGAACTAATAGCTGAAAATAGGTACCCCACATGGGCACACTGTGTTACCAAAGCAAGAGAAGTCCATCATCCACTGCCAAAATGTCTACAAAATCTCACATGCCAAAGTTTGCAGTGTTGAAGATTA